GGTGGCAGGGGCTTTGCTTTTTTCATTCTCATCTTTTTCTTCTTCCCTATCGTAAGAACAAGGATGGAGAGCCTTCCTTTTTAATAGTTCTGTGAGTATTTGATTCAGACAAATAATTGTACTTTACTTGTACTGTGATCTCACTTTTACTAGAGTTAAATAGATTCATGTGTTTTGAAGCACCAGTTGTCTATAGTATTTTCAGAATTCCCTAATGGCTGTTTATTTGTTGGAATTCCTAATCAGAAATGTTTGTCATACTCTAGATTCTGGATCAAAATTTTGAAATAATACATTTTACCCAAACTTTGTGGCAGTATTGTTTTGGTATAAAAAGAGAGAAAATATAAACATTCTTACTACAATGGTTGCAGCTGCAGAGTGCACTCCATTGTATCTTGAATTTTTACTTCTGCCTATATTGACATTCACTCACCTATCTGGAGAAAACTTCAAAAGAAGAAATTGTTTAAGAGCCAGGGAGATGGCTCAGTAGAATAAGCATTTGCCCAGCAAGCACAAGGCCCTGAGTTCAATCCCCAGTTCTGCAAAAAAAAAAAAAAAAAAAAAAAAAAAAAAGAAAGAAAGAAAAGAAAAGAAAGAAATTGTTCAGAAAATTTTCTTCAGAGAAAAAATAACTTTTCATAAAATATGTGTAAAACTGTGTTCTTACTTTCCAGGAAAAAAAATGATTTGGATTTTAAGACAAAAGTTTTTTATTCTTTGTCTTGTTTTTTTTCTGATTCAAGCTGAACAATTAACCATTTCTTATTGTTTTTTCTCTTGAATGTGATTTTAATGTAATTTTTCTGAAAGCTAAATAAGAAGAACAAAAGTCCATAATTCCAGAGATTCATGTCTGAATCATTTTTTTCCTTTTTTACTGAATAATTTAACGTACAAAATAACTTGAAAATTTGTCTTGGAACTGTAAAGTTGGGGAAACGTAATTGATACTGGTGTAGGACTTGTAAGACCAAAAGCTCTAGGCTGGAGGGAAAAAGCACGGCGTGGAGATCTCTGTCTTCATGGTTTAAAATTAGTTTTTCCCCCAAGAGTCAAAAACAGTGCATATGTCTCATTGCAAAACTAGCAGCTGGAATGGTGAAGGAAAAAAATTGTTATAATTTGGGCAAGCTTATTTGTTGAGGATTTGTTGCAGCACTTGTTCCATTGGCTTGTCACAACTCCTCCTTGAGATTTATTGTGAGGGCCTGTGACACTGATACATATTGCTAAGTTTGAAATTTCAGCCTTTACTTAGGCAGGAGGGTAAAGATTCATTTCTGTGGGACTAAGTGCTACATCAAACTGTTGAGCTAAAGTGAAAATCTAGGGCTAACTTTTGACTAATTAAAAGATTTTGAAAGATTGAAATGGAAAGTTGAAAGGAAGTCTTCCCCAAGGTGCTAGGTCATTAGGGCTGAGGGTTTAGTAGACCTAAAATTGTGTACTGGATTGGGGAAGTTTTAGATGATAGTAATTGAAAGTTGCTAAAGAGAGACTAGTTTTTATGGCACAAGTGCATAGGTGTTGATTAAGGTGAAAGATGTATAGGAGCTGTCATACTGAAGGCTCGGAGCCAGGTGAGTGAGGGCAGGCCTGAGAAGGAGCCATATGTGCTTAGGAAAATTGTTAGAAGACTTCTGCACAGAGCTTGTTAATCCTTTTGCACCTCCCTTGATTAATTCTATTTTCAGATCTCAGCTAATATGTATGTATTTCTCACTCTCAAATAAGAGGCCATTGTTTTATCAGTTAAGAATAATTTTTTGAAGACATGATGTGTCTGTTCTGTTATGGTCAGAATCATCTGTGACCTCATTGAAGTGTTCTTAAAGGCCTTATACAGCTAGCCAAGAACATGGGGATGAGTTTTACATAAACCTCTTTGCAGAGTCTAGATCAGTGGTGGCAAACCTATGGCATGTGTGTCACAGCAGACAGAGCCCTCTCTGCTGGCACATGAACCAGGTCATCCCAGCAACTGAGCAATGGATATTCACGTTAATCGCAGGGTTGGCATTTTGTAATAAATAAGTTGGGTTTTTGGATTGCAGTTTGGGCACTTGGTCTCTTAAAAGGTCTAGATCACTGGTCTAGATCATTTTCCTTCAGTGTGTGTACTGATTTCATGTTAAATCTGAGTCCTTGGTCCCAGATACAGTAGCTGTGGGTATGACGGTACAGATCCATGGACTGCTCTTAGAAGAACAAAGTCTGTATCTTCTAGGGCAATAGCATCAGTTTCCAAATCCCTGTGAATCACCTCTGTATTTGTTGTGAAAGGACAAGTGTAACTGGATTTTTTCCTCAGTGAAAGTGCCTTGTAAAAATGAGAGATCTTACTTGTTTCCACCCTGATCCTTTCTGTGCACTTACACATAATTGTAAAATTTATCTTTCATTCACAACGTTGAAGTAAATGAAGTATTTTGTCATGAATGTTTTATTTAAATGGCGAACAGATGTATCTTGTTTGGTTGATAGCTCTTCTTAAAGTTGAATATGACATGTTGAGTCCATTTTCTAATATTAATAAATACGCTCTGTCCCCACTGCCTCAGCTGATCACTGAACAGAACTTCCAGCTAATCAAAAGTTTTACCTTTTGATTCTAAATGCAGTGCTTCCTCACTTTCTCTTCTATCTATGTCGTATGAGGAGTAGTTGTGGAAGTGGTGACTGAGCAGGGCATAGTGGCCCATTTATGGAATCTAAGTACTCTAAGACACTGAGGCAGGAAGACCACTAGTTCAAACCCAGCCTGGGTAGTTTAGGGATAACCTGTCTCAATAAAAATGGGCCTGGGCTTAACGTGAAGGCCCTAGTTCAATCTCTAATACCACACACACAGAAAAAGGTTAGCTAGTATAGACATTGGTACATGTGTGATTTATACAAGTCTTGATGGAGTTTGACTTTGGAAGCCTCAATACAGTATTGACAAAATTGACTATGTAATCTGTATTTGCAAATTTTCAACAAAAAAATTGGCGCTGGTTAAGTGTTTTGTTTTTTTTTTTTTTTTTTTTTTTTTTTGCCTTCTGTCAAATGGTTTGGGAAAATATTGAAGATGAGTAAAAGTTTGTTTTTAGCTTCATGGAACTTTTTCATCTGTTTTCAGTTTTCTTTAGGACTTTTCATTATATTCCTTGAATAAGCTACTTTCAATATTGAGAACTTTCACTTATATATAAATCATGTTCAGTAAGTTAGAGTTGTCTACTAGGTTGAACTTGAAACCGGCTTAGTCACCCTTCAGAAATGTCTCCTTATGATCCACAAGTCATATAGATTGTTTTATTCTTTTCTTCCATTTTTATTTTTATTAGTACAATTGTTGATGAAATTAAGGTTGAGAAGTACTGAAGGATTTAAGTTTGGTACATAGAGGTCTAAGTTTTGTTTTTTGAAAGTAGACAACGTATGGTTTTATTAATGCAAAAGCGTCAGTGATAACTGTTTAAACATTAAAATTTTTTAAACAGCCAAATTGGCTTAAATTTTTGCATAGTGGCCTGTCTGGCATTGCAGATACACACATGAAATAGTACTTATTTCCATGCATAGGTATTCAGCTATAACACTGCTTACAAATTACTATGGACAAGATAAACTGTAGCAGTATTCATCTAAGTTCCTAAGTGAAGACGCCAACCTGCAATCTTAAGAGTTTAGGTTTTGAGGATGAAGATAATGAAGTTGAGGGAAATTGTATTGAAGGTCAGCAGGATCCTTGTGCAGAAGTGCACTATATAAAATAAAAGCCAACTTGATTTTTAATTTCTAGAATTGCATTGGCTGATGAGCAGCGTATGCTACTTCCTATTCCGCTGTTATTTCCTACTTAACTAAATCACATGTCTCTGTAGAAATACAATTTATATATTTCTTTTGCAAATAGATTGAACATATTTGCAGAAATTAAATTAGAAATAGATATTAGTCAAATATATGAGAAGCATATTAATAAAATTTTAATTAATATTTAATATTTTAATATTTTGTTACATTTTTACATTACATTTTACTGTAATATATGTGTGATTTTTTTTTTCAGTACCAGGGATTAAACTCAGGACCCTGCGCTTGCCAGGCAGGCGCTTATTCTACTGAGATATCTCCCCGGCCCCAGTATATGTGTGATTTATATGCTGTATATTTTTCTTCCTGCAATTTACAATTTGTTTTATAATCTGATTTTGTGTTCAGTGTTAGATTGTTTGGGGCTATCAGGTGTAGAGAGTGAGACTTTTTGTTTTCATTCTTCCTTCCATTTAAAAAACAACATATTCTTGGCATGGACTTTGGGTTTATTTAAAATTTCAAATAAATATAAGCATCTGTATTTTAGTATCAGTTCCTAATTAAAACATGATTGAACAGCAGCTTTAGTTGAAATAATCTAGGCATGCTGTGAGAGAATTCTTTTATCTCATAAATTCATATCTGCTGCTTATTGATTGTTTAAAATGAAGAGCATAGTTCACACATTTGGTAAAGCTGTAGAATACGTAATGATCACAGAGATCATATCTATGTAAATATCATTCTTTGCACAACCGGTAGCATTTGGTAAAGCCTAAAAACTCTGAGCTGAAAGAATGATTAAAGAGACAAAAGAAAATTTAGAAGATGATGCACTTCATTCTCTTCCTTGAGGGAAAGACTAAATTAGCCATCCCCTGAGATGTAGTTCTATTGATATATTTGGAAAACTGTAGTAGGTAAACAAGAATGCCTTTTAATCACAAAGAGATACTCCTTTGCTTCCAAATAAGCCATTTGTTATTGGGCTCCCATATGTGAGAGAACTCCAGGAAATCTGTCACTTTGTCTTCATAAAACCTCATTTTGGTTGCTTAAACCTACACTTCTGTCAACAAGGTAAAAAAAAAAAAAAAAAGTACCAGTGCCCTAATTTTGTCTCCACAGGTGGCTGAAAGAGGGGTGATGGCTCCAAATCAGCTTCTAACCTCCTCCTCTCTCTTACCCAGGTTACCTTCTTCACAATGATTCCCTGCAGAGCAGTGTTCACTTTTGCCCGATGTCTGATCCGGAGAAAAATTGTCACTGTGGACAGTCTAGAAGACTCCAAACTCTGCCGCTGCCTAACCACCATGGACCTCATTGCCCTGGGGGTTGGAAGCACTCTGGGTGCTGGGGTTTATGTTCTTGCTGGGGAAGTCGCCAAAGCAGACTCTGGCCCGAGCATCGTCGTGTCCTTCCTGATCGCCGCCTTGGCATCCGTGATGGCAGGCCTTTGCTATGCCGAGTTTGGAGCCCGAGTCCCCAAGACTGGGTCTGCCTATTTGTACACTTATGTTACTGTTGGTGAGCTGTGGGCCTTCATCACTGGCTGGAATCTTATTTTATCTTATGTTATAGGTATGTTTCAAACACAAATCTCAACTGTATAGAAAAGGCAGTGCTGGTGAAGAGGTCTTAGTGTTCAGTTTAGGTGTCTTGGGCTAATTGTGAATGGATCACCCATCCCTGCATGTCTCATTTTTCTCATCTCTAAAATGACTTCTCATTTCAAATAAATTATGGGATTCTGTTTCATCTCTGAACATGCCTCTTCATGAGGTTGAAATCCCTATTTTTTTAAATAAGAATTTCTTTATTACTAATGAAGTTATTACCTAGTTTTTACACTTATGAATTTGGGCATTTCATTGCAATTATAATATTTTAAAATTAGCAGTATAACTTCATAACATAATTAAAATTCTCACTGAATGTGAACTAGGCCAGGTAATCTGGAATAGAGCAGCAAAAGCTGTTATGTCAGTTTCCTGCCTGTGATCTCATATTCTCTGCATATTCCGTGTTTTGGGAAGGTACATCAAGTGTCGCAAGAGCATGGAGTGGCACCTTTGATGAATTACTTAACAAACAGATTGGTCATTTTTTCAAGACCTACTTCAAAATGAATTATACTGGCCTTGCAGAGTATCCAGACTTTTTTGCTGTGTGCCTTATATTACTTCTGGCAGGTAAGAAAACTATTACTGAGTACCTTTCCCTGTAATAAGCCAAATCAACTGTCCAGAAAAGCAGGTTACTACTGAATTTGCAAGGTGAGTTCTCCAGATGGGCTCATGGGATTCACACATTGAAGTTACTGGGAGACTTCTTGGGCATCAGCAGTGGCTAGAATCACATTTTACCTTACAGGATAGGTATGTTTCAGAAACAGGTCTACATTGTGGGGAGTAATGGAAATGGCTCTTCTGAGTCAGAGATACCTGGCATGAATTAAATAATAGGACAGTGACATCAGTTTTACAGCACTAATGGAAGGTTTGCAGGAATGGCAATGAAGGTTTAATAAGAAATATTTAATTTCATAGCATTACTCCATCTTACTAAAATGCAACTAAATATATTTTTAAGCTTTATAGAAGAAATTCTGAGTTTTCTTACCATGCTTTCATCTACATAACAAAGGCAAACGAAACATACAGGTCACCTGTCACTTGTTAAGGCAGATACGTACTTAGTACTGGAATTTTTCCATGTTCATCAATATTGTAGCATAGTGGTTAGGAATATGAATTAGAGTAGGAGCAAACACATTTTCAGTCTTACTGTGCTATTTAACTATTCTTGGAACTTAAATAATTTACTCCCTTTTTCCATCACTCAGTTTACTCATTCATGAAATGAGTGCATTGTTTTGTTTGGTATACTCTGACAGTTTTTCTCTTGTAACCATGACTAATCCATGCTGCCCCCTTAGATTTGTTTTAATTATTTGAAGTCCTATTTTGATTTAATCCTATCACCAGTCCTATTTAAAATCCAGGTGAGGATACTATGAAACATAAAATCTGTGTTTCTTTCTATTTCCTACTTGATTTACAATGAGTACTCTGCCCCTTGCATGTCTGTCTGGACAGCCTTACTTGTCTCTTCATTGGGCTAGAAGAAGATGGACAAAAATATCATTCTATGATGAAATGTTTACCTATAAATTACAGTTCTAAAAATAGTTTGCCCTGTTAAAAAGTTTCATTAAATGTACTATATAAGGATGAGAACAGGAACATAAAAGTTTTAGGTCTAAGCATTTTGCATTTTGCTTTTAATGTCAGGAAAAAAATAAGTCTGTGATTTTCATCAATTTTTTGTTTATTTTGGTTGCTAAACAATATCTGCCACTTTTTATTTCTAGCACATTTTATTTAAATATGGTTTCAATAAACAAAATATGTAACTATTCTCTCAAGGCCAAGAAGCATAACTGACACATGTAGTTGGAACTGTTAATTCCATGAAAGCTAAGACATTAGCCTGTTCATTCACCGTATCTTTACTTGAAATATAGCCTAAGCCTACATTATCATTGTTAGTAGAAGCGTTGACGCTCAGAACCCTGTTATAAATCTTTATCCATATTGTAATGCCAAATATCTTGTCAGTTGAAACTATTAAATATAATTTTATTTCATTAAAGAAACAAGGGAAGAATTCTTAATCCTGAGTTGAATTATTTATGGTCTCTAAACTACGTATTGGTGGGAGATAAAGCTGGAGAGTAGATGTATTAGTTCCCCAGCTGTCCACATGCATGTTGAAGAATGAATATAGAATGTGATATTGGCTTTGTTCTTCTCTGATGTCGTGTAGCTATGGTTCACAACCTAACAGTTATCTGTGAGTAATTGTGATAACCCTACAGCTTTCCTTCATATCATTGGTACATTTTTTTATTGTGCAATTCTGGGAATTATACAAGTATGAGAATTAAGTTCAACTTTTTTCATTTCTGCTTGGACAATTTTGCCTATGTGATGGTGGGTAGTATGGATTTTAGGAAGAAAAGCTGTGGCATAACCTTTTCATAGCAATTATTTCTACAGTGGCAAAACATAAACTCTTACTTCTATAATTTATGTCTTTTGTTAGATGGATTAAAAGCAAATATGATGAGCATAATAATTATAAAGAAACTAGGTACTGGACCCGCCCCTGGGACACACTGAGATTGTGATTGAGACTGGGTGTGGTGGCATGTGCCTGTAATCCCAGCACTTGGGAGGCTGACATCAGGAGGATTATTAGGAGTCCAGTCTGTGCAATGAGACCCTGTAGACTCTGTACTCAGTACATTAGAAAAAGAAAAAAAAAAAAAAAGAAAGAAACTGGAAGGAAACAAAGCTAGTATTTTTTGGTTAATATTATGGAAGATTTTACCAACAGTAGGAACTAAAAAAGAAAAATGGCCAGGCATAGTGGTGCACACTTGTAATCCCAGCCCTCAGGAGGCTAAGACAAGAGGATCACCACAAGTTCAAGGCTAGCCTGGGCCACATAGTGAGTTCAAAGCCAGTCTGCACTGCATAACAAGGCCCTGTAGCAAGAAGAGAAAAAGGGAAAATGTGTGAATGATTGCAGTAACTTTTCTCCAAGTGAACTGGAAGGTTAAAAGCAAATGATGGAGACCCAGTCCTAGCCCAGGTCCGGTGAGTGTGCGGAGAGTTTCCTGCTACCCTGTGCCGGCGGGACCAGTCCCAGCCCAGGCGCAGCGTGGGCCGGACCCTCTCCCACCCCCTCCGGCAGCCCCCCACCCCTCCGCTGTACCTCCCCCATCCCTCCCGCTCAGTAGGAATTTCTGCCGACTTCTGGGAACCCCCAGACCCAGTCCT